TTGGGGCTGTTCTGAGTCAGGAGGGTCGTCCCGTTTCATTTTTCAGCGAGAAGTTGTCTGGCAGCCGCTCTCGATACAGCGCCTACGATGTTGAGTTCTATGCAGTGGTGCGCGCCGTTCGTCATTGGCGCCATTATCTTTTTCATCGGGAGTTTCTGCTATACACCGATCACGAGGCCCTGCGTCACTTAGCTTCCCAGGATAATATTTCGGCCCGTCATGCTTCCTGGGCAGCCTTCTTACAACATTTCACATTTGTGCTCCGCCATCGGTCTGGGGCTTCGAATAGGGTGGCTGATGCCCTGAGTCGTCGAGCATTGTTGTTGACAGATATGCGTGTTTCTGTGATCGGCTTTGATGTGATGCGCGAGCTGTATGCTGTCGACTCTTTCTTTGGCCCGATTGTGCGTTCTCTTGCTTCCGGCCCCTTTGAGGACTATACACTCGTGGATGGATTTCTCTTTCGGGGAATTCGATTGTGCATTCCGGATTGCAGTCTTCGCCTGAAGTTGATCGCCGATCTTCATGGGGCTGGTCATGTGGGGCGCGACCGTTCCGTGGCTTTGGTGAGTCGTTCTTATTTCTGGTCGTCCTTGCGTCGTGATGTGACACGATTTGTTGCTCGTTGTCGTGTGTGTCACGTTTCTAAAGGGGTTGCCTCGAATGCTGGTTTATACCGACCCCTACCCATTCCTTCACGACCTTGGAGTGCGATTAGCATGGACTTCGTAGTCGGGTTGCCTCGGACACAGCGCGGGTTTGACTCCATTTTTGTGGTCGTCGACCGTTTCTCGAAGATGGTGCACTTCATCCCCTGCAAGCGCACCACCGATGCGGTACATGTCGCCCAGCTTTTCTTCCGCGAGGTCTACCGCTTACACGGTCTTCCCTCTTCGATAGTCTCGGATCGCGATACGCGATTCTTGAGCCATTTCTGGCGTACCTTGTGGCGGATGGCGAATACACGTCTGGATTTCAGTAGTGCATATCACCCCCAGACGGATGGGCAGACGGAAGTGGTTAACCGCTCGTTGGGCAACTTGTTACGTTGTTTGGTGGGCGATAATCTCCGTAGCTGGGACCAGCGTTTGAGCCAGGCTGAGTTTGCCCACAACTCCGCTGTGAGCCGTGCGACTGGTCTTTCCCCTTTTGAGGCGGTTTATGGCCTCATGCCCCGTGGCCCAACCGACCTGGTCACTCTGCCGGCCGCCGTGCCTGGTGATCGGCGTGCTGCTGACCTCATCGATGATTTGCGTGCCATTCATGCTAAGACTCGGGCTCATTTGGAGGCCACGACGGAGGGGTACAAACGCCGGGCCGATGTGAAGCGTAGGCACGTCGAGTTTGAGGTGGGCGATTTTGTTTGGGCGGTTTTGACTAAGGATCGCTTCACTGCACATGAGTACAACAAGCTCTCGGCTCGGAAGATTGGGCCCGTTGAGGTAATCGAGAAAATCAACCCTAATGCTTATCGCTTACGCCTTCCCTCTCACATTCGCACTTCTGACGTTTTTAACGTCAAACACCTTGTGCCTTATGCTGGTGATAATTCCGAGGAGGACGAGGCCGCTTCGGATTCGAGGCCGAATCCTTCTCAACCGGGGGGGAATGATGGAGACGAGGCCGCTTTGGCATTCTTGGATAAGTTTGACCGGCTCAAGATCTAGTTATCGTATTATTTGCTATCTTTATTATTTTTGTTTGGTTTCTTTAATTTATTTGCTTTCCTAGTTAATATCTTTATTTTAGGAAATAAATAATACTCTTGCACCATGTTAGGCAAGAGTAGGACTCTTTATTTAAGGGCAAGATTATCTGATGTACAAAGCAGTTTTATGAATGAATGAAAAATAAATCGTTTCTTCTTCAGAGAGAGTATCTCTAAGTTCTATCATCGTCTTGAGAGAGTATCTCAAGCATCCCACGCACACGTTCTACATCAACACCCATACTTTTTATTTTATTCTCCGGCAGCCGTATCAGATCACCACCTTTCTCCGATGTCACTTTTTACCCGTAAATAAAAAAACATAATAATAAAGAAATTGTTCAAATTTTGGTATGGTAGTATTTTTATTTTTTTTTCCTTGATAAATGAGACCTATGACTGTAGGGCGACGAAGAATCTGGATTCATGGGGAATCAAACTGGGCTTATGGACCTTACGATCTGGACTGATAGGTTTTAGGTTTTAATATTTGGGCTACTTGGGCATATACACGTTAAATTCAATGTAGGCCCGAGTTCTCTTAGAAGTTAGAACTGTCTCTCAATATACAAACTTAGACTACTATATTTTATTGAAAATTTATTTATAACTCGTAATTAATTTTGATTAGATATATAATAGAATAATAGATTATGTCTCAGAAGAAAAAAAAGAAAAAAAAAAGTATTACTCAATGCAACATATAAATAGATGTTTTAATTAATTTGTTTGTTTAATTACATTTTTAATTTTTTATACTCTTCATGTATTTTTTTAGGGCCAACAAGTTACTTGTACGCTTTAGGAAAGATATATAGATAATCTCTGTGAAACTTACAATGGTTATAAACCCTCGCTACGAGTTATGATTTTCAAATATATTAGGCAAAGTAATTTGCTCACGTTGTAATATTTATTTTTTAAGTAGATCATCATATATTTAATGTAGTTCAATTTTATATATTATTCTAACATATATTCTTCGACAATTATTGTATGGTTGTAAGGCCACCTTTATTCGTGACCCAATGAGAGGGGTCACGGAATTAAAAAATAAAAAAAAAATTAAAACAAAAAAAAAATAAAAAAAAAAAAAAGGAAAAGGGCACTGATGCGCGCGACCCAGGTCACATTGTGACCTCGGGTCGCAACCGGTTTTTGTACCGAAATGGGACACTTGTTCCATTTTTATTGCACAAATGTATTTTTTTGTATTTAAAAAAAATAAAGAAAAATATCAAAATTCGTATTTTGTCATTCTCTACAAATAGAGACCACACTTGATATATTTTAGAACACAATTGCAATTTTTAAATAAATTAAAATAAAATAAATATTTAAGTTGAGTTGGGTTATGAATAAAGATAAATTGGGTTGGAAGATTGAGTTGTGTAGATAGAGGAGAGAGAAATAATTTTTAATTGTTAAGTTGGGTTGGGTTGGGTTGGGGATAAAGATAGTCTAAGAATTGGCAGAGCTTACAATGCGACAAAAATGAAAACCGGTAATGACATACCGGTATCACGTCATGTTTGTTGCCCGGCAGACGCACTGCGCATTCACGATTCAAAACCCCACTAAACCCAATGAAAGAGTATACATGTGACATTAACCAGTAAAGTCATTTTGATTGAGCTAATTATACAATGTCGGTTGATCATTTGAGATGAAGCCCGATGATGAATAAGTATTGCTTACATGCTGTTGACAACACCTTGCGAGTCTTAATGAAAGCAGTTGATCCATCGAGGAAAAATCTTCTATTTGGCATCAGGTATGTCGTGTTTGATGGCGATTTTAGACAGATACTCCATGTTATCCCTAAAGGCAGTCATAATGCCAAAGTCAGTGCGACCATTAATTCATCCAAGTTTTGGTGCGACTTTATCATTATGAGACTGACTCGGAATATGAGACTTCGAAGCCTTGGTGAAGATGATGAGTAGGGCTGCAAACGAGTCAAGTCGAGTCAAGCATTGGCCTTATCGAGTAGGATTGATGTTTTCTTTTTAGCTACCCGAGCTCGTCGAGCTCGACTCGAAATCAAAATGCTCGAGCTTCGCTAAAAAATTAAGTGGAAAAATAAAATTACCATTAAGCACCCAGACTATACTATTGTGTGTGTGTGTGTGTGTATATATATATAAGCGGTGTTTAGTAATTCAACATATATCTCGAACTGCTTGACGGGCCGCTCGACAATGCAAAATATGGGCTCGAGCTTGACTCGAGATTGGTCAAACTCGAGCTCGAGTCGAGCTTTGACTCAAGCGCTCGCGAGCTGCTCGGTTCTTTGTAGCCCTATGATGAGTGGATAAGTTGAAGCGCTTCTCGGAGTGACTTGCAAGTATTGGCGAAGGTACAGTCGGTAGATCGAAAGACGGTTATGACGATATCGACATTCATGACGATATTCGTTTGAAATCACAAAAGATCACATTGTTATTATTGTCGAGAATACATACCCGATGTTCAGGAGTTCAGACGACGATCTTAGTTATCTCAATAACAGTTCCATACTCGCTCCGACTGCTGATATCGTTGAACTCATTCAAATGAATAACTAATTTGAGTTCGGATACCTCTTGCAAGTCATACACTGGATATGACCTTCATACTCCACAATTTTTTAATGGGATTAAGTGTTCGCGACATCCGAATCATAAATTTCACTTGAAGGTCGACACTCTAGTTATGCTGCTCAGAAAGATCGATTACTCCATGGAGTTATGCAACGGTACACATTTGGTTATTACTAAACCCAACAACCATGCCCTTGAATGCAAAATGTTAACCGGTATTAGAGCCGGTGACAATGCTCTTATTATCGGACTCACAATCATACTGCCTGATATGAGGGTACAATTCAAGTTTCAGCGCCGGTAGTACCGCTCACGTTTTATTATGCTATGACAATTAATAAAAATTAATGTCAGCCCTTGTCGCATGTCGGATTACTGCTGAAGAGTCCTGTATTTAGTACTGAGAAGTTGTACGTCGCTCTATCCAGAGTCACGAATCCGAGAAGATGAAAATTATGACGATAGAAAAACCACGCATATTTATTTTTTTATTTATTTGGTTATGGTTTTTTTTTTTTTTTT